AAGGGTTAATATGCTGACAAGTATAATTCTTCCCACAAAATGGTCTTAGATCTTCGCCAAGAAAAGCATTTCAAATTCCACTGACCGATGGCGGAGACACGAGAATATAACGAACGTGTCACTTTCAAGATGCGTATCATTTATTCTGGGCAATCGAGCAAAAGACAGTTCCATATTTATACACTGAATCCTGATTTTTGGCATTTGGTAGGGAAGAGCTTACAAAGGAGCAAAGATTGGTACGGGCTCCTTTGTTAGCTAGTCTATTCAGACTACATGTACCGTCATGGAGTCCCCAGTTGAGGCTAATTAGTTTCCAGTCCTTTTTTAAAAACATCACCAGCTTTGAAGACTCAATAGCCTGCGTGGCACGCGTCAAAAGCCTCGCAGACGACACCTCGAACTAAGGAACAAGTGCTAAATTTTTCAAACTGAAAGATTGCTTAGAAGTTTAAATAAAAGAATAGAATTGAACAAAATCCATCATTATTTTATTATGTGTAAATCATTTGCTGGTCTGATCAGTTAAGAAAAACACTCGCTCTTTCAGCGTTTTCCAATGATTTAACGTTCTATTTTTATACCGATCGTTTTCAATTAAACAAGTGGTTCCTCTTAGCAGAGAGTAGCTCACATGTCAATTATGGACACAGAGGTAATTAGAAATTGATGGAAAAAACCATATATTACGGTGTTTGATTGTTTTGTTTTTAATACTAAAGTGGTATATGTTCGCATTTACAAAGTTGTCAAATATCATCAGAATCAGATTTACAACCAAAATCAGCTTCAAAATGCCCAAACAAGGGAGGCACACCGACAAAGGAAGTCCGCCTATAATAGTTTATTTGTCTCAGTAGTTTTTTTAGCTTGTTATTTTCCTTTTTTCCTTATACCATACTGTACATGACAAACACCACTGAAATCTCGTTTCTCGTCGCTCAATTTGCGTCGGAATTCTTACTTTTCCTAAATTCATCATTAAATGCTCTTGTTTACTGCTGGCGTTACAGAGAGATTCGCCAAATTGTAAAAAACACATTGAAGAAAATAATTCGCATGAACGAGAATGAAGGCATTACAAAGATATAACTAAGGATAATTTTAACTAAAAATCTATGCAAAAGTTTTTAGAGCGGAATTAAGTGAGAAAATGCAACGGACTTATATATACAAGACTAAGAAAACGATAGCCAAGAAGAAAGATTGGCCTATTCACATCAGATTGGTCTCGCTGGAAAGAAGAAACAAAAGACACCAATTCCTTCTGAAAACTTCTACAGTAATTAAGCAAGAAAACCAATAGACTTGCAGCTCAAAAAGACCAAGAAAACATATAATGTAAATTTCAATTCAGCATTTTAACACTTTGTTGCAAGGCGATTTGGTGTAATAACTATCTACCCAAGATTGGTCTCTTCGAAATTGGATCTGGTCTCTCTGAATTACGAGACAAGAAGACGCCTTTAGAGTATTTTAGTAACGAAACTCAGCTCTGTTTTTCATCGTCAAAACACTTCTTACAGAGAGAAACGTAAAAGCATTTTCCCTTTTAATGTACAATGTTAGCTACGGTGCAAGAACCTTATCGTTTTCAAGAAATATCCTTAAAACAATAACTGTACCGATAACTGCCAAAGAATAAGTAACGATGTGACAAAATGGCCATTGTTCAAGCTGGCGATCTACGGCGAAAGTTGCAATCTTAACACTCTTTGAGACGAACACATATGCTCGTTGGCATTCGAAAGAGTTTACAAATAAGCAAAGGTCATTAGGGTTCCCTGTGAGCTATTCCCTATCAGAAAAACCGTCACTTGAGTCTACATTTGGAGAATATCCAACAAAACACAAAAGAGAAGGCAAAAACAATCAAAAATAAAACTGTTAGGCTCCAGTCCATTTTATAAAAACCTCACCTGCTTGGAAAACTAAAAAGACTCGCTGAGCAGGCATCACAAATCAACTACAGAAATGGGCGCGAAACTTTTTTAAAACTGAAACCTTGTCAAAAAGTTTAAAAGCATAGAACTAAACAAAATCCATCTGTATTTTACTATGTTTCAAAATTTCGCTGGACGGTTAAATTTAGAGGAAAAAAACTCGCCCTTTCAACGTTTTAGAATGAATTAAAAGTTCTATTTTCTATACCGAGCATTTACAAGTTTAAAACAAACAGTTCTTCTCAACACACATATCAATTATGGACAAAGAGGTAATTGGAACTTGATGGAAGGACTATACATTTGCGGTGTGTAATAATTGTTTTGTTTTCAATACTGGTATTCCAAAACCTTCCCTTCCACTGTTTTTCTGGGTTGGCCTTGTTTTATACAGTTTAATTCGTTGTTTCCTCTTGAACAATGACATTAAGTTTCTGTTTACACCCCATTACAACATTAAGTCTAAAGGATTTAGTTAATGAACCGGCTTTATTACGCGCTACAGCAGATGGCCGATGTGAAAAGTAGCAAAATAAACCGAGGGGTAATTAATGTGAATATCATTTTATCTAAGACAGATACATGTATGTAATGTGATAAGTCAAACTATGGCTGAAAAGAACTGCAATCGATTTCTGGATTATTGGATTAAACTAGTTTCCTACAGGAGAAGTTTCTTCCTTGGTATCTAGGTTTTAAACTTTGTATTTTCCCTCCCTTCATAATGCCCAAACAAAGAGAGGCACACCGACAAAGGAAGTCCCGCCTACAATAGTTTATTTGGCTCCCCGGCAGTAGTTTATTTAGCGTGTTGTTGTCCTCATTCCAGCAATATGTAAAAAGGTTTTCAAAGGTCTCACGTCGGTGAAGATGTGCGGCCTGTCACCCCTTTCAATTTTACTATGAGGATTTGTCATGTGATGGCCTAACTGTGCTTAACCCTTTAGGCACTAAGAGTGATCAGCATCAAATTTCTCCTAGTAATATTCCTGCTATAGAAAACAAGGTTGTTGCATGAGAATTAGGGACATAATCACACAGATTCTTTGACAAAACCTCTCAACTACTATTATCATGAGGAAACGTATGGGAACAACAAATGAGAATTTGAATTTTAATATTACAATTTAAGGGACGATTATGCGACCAAGGAGATTAGTTCTTGCACTAAATGGTCTCAGATCTTCGCCAAGAAAAAGCATTTTTAAATTCCACTAACTTATGTCAGAGACACAAGAACTTGACGAACGTGTCACTTTCAGTTCCCTTATTTATAAACTGGAATCCTGATTTTTGTGCATTTAGTGGAAAGAGTTTACAAACGAGTAGGTTATTGAGCTCGTTGTTGCGCTAGTCCATTCAGACTACATAACACCGTTGTGAGTCCCCAGTTGAGGCTAATTAGTTTCCAGTCCTTTTTTAAAACATCACCAGCTTTGAAGACTCAAAGCCTCGCTCACGACACCTTGAAATAAGGAACAAGTGCTTTTTTTTTTTCAAAGTGAAAAATTGGTTAAAAAAAAAAATCCACCATTATTTCATATGTGTAAATCATTTGCTGGTCGAATCAATAAACAGAAAAATACTCGCTCTTTCAACGTTTTACAATGATTTAACGTTTTATTTTTATACTGATCGTTTCCAATTAAGCAGCTGTTTCCTCTTAGCAGGGAGTAGCTCACGTCTCAAATATGGACAGAGAGGTAATTGGAACTTAATGGCAAAGGACTATATATTACGGTGTTTAATTTTTTGTTTTCAATACTAATGTCGTAAAACCTTTCCCTTGTTTTTCTGAGTTGGCCTTGTTTACAATTCGATTCGGTGTTTTAAACCTTAAAATTTTTGTACCAACAATACAGGAATTTCGGTACGCACTCTAACTATAAACATTGAGTCTAAAGCTTAAGTTAATGAACCGGCTATATAACGTGACACAGCAGATAGCTTTTATGAAAGGTAGCTAATTAACCGAGGGGTAATTAATGTAGACATTTCAGCAAAAAGGAAAAATTCGTCTATACAATTTGACAGGTTAAACCATGGCTGAACAGTTCTGCACTCGTGCGCTTCATTCCTTGGTTCAAGTTGTTCATCACAGAAGATCTTCCCTCCTTGCTTTGTGTGTTTTAGACTTTGTATTTTCTGTCGTGGCGACTCTTGAAAATCTGTTAGTTATTCGCGCCTTAATGAAAGCCTCAAAGATACCGGCTACTGTCAAAAAGCTGTTCCTAAAGTCTGGCTTTCTCTGATCTTGCAGTTGGACTGTGTTCGCAGCTTATGACCGCTATTATCAGCGCCTCGATATTGGCATCAAGTGGAAACAACACCGCCTTCTTCTGTCCAACAGTTTTGGGTGTGAAAAGTTACTTTTTTGTATCTTCTCGGCAGTGCATCTCTTCTGAATGTTATTTTTATCGCATTTGATAGACTTCTCGCTGTTTCGCTCCATCTGCGATATCAGGAGCTTATCACACCCAAACGTGTTAACATAGCATTGGTGTCTTTGTGGTTCATAAGTTGTATCACCGCCTTCATATTTGTTTTCCTTCCGACGAGCAATGAAATAGTAGGCGCAGTTATTTTAATGATAGGGTATGTTTTGACCACCGTAGCATATGTTCGTATTTACAAAGTCGTCAAATATCATCAAAATCAGATATACAGGCAAAATCAGCTTCAAAATGCCCAAACAAGGGAGATACTCCGACAAAAGAAGTCCGCCTACAATGCTATATTTGTCTATCTTGTTTTTCTAGCTTGTTATCTTCCTCTTTTGCCTTCAACAATACTGTACATGAGAAATACTTCTGAAAGTTCTTTTATCGTAGCTCATTACGCATCGATATTCTTGATCCGCCTGAATTCATCATTAAATCCTCTTGTTTATTGCTGGCGGTACCGAGAAATTCGCCAAAGTGTAAAAAGCACAGTGAAGAAATTATTTCACATGAACGAGAACGTGAAGTGAGAAACAATTTAAAGCTCCGGATAGTTTGAACTGAAAGTCTTTTCAGTGTCTTTTGCGAGGTCTGCAAAACGAAATATGGTAAGGGACACCAATGGACTTATTTTGGTGCAAAGAAAAATGAGAAATGTAAAACAAACAGAATATTCTGTTAGAAACTGGAACTGGTGTTGATAAATTGTGAAACGCGAACTGGCTAATAAACTTCTCAACGTTCTCAACGTTTCCAAGCCGACATATATGTGAAGCCTGTCATCCGTTACAGTTACTCACTCATAATCCCCCTGCCACTTTGAGGAACAATCATACATGATATACATTTAAACGATATGTTTGTATACTTTACAAAAAAAAGCAACGCAAGACTCTTATTTTTCCAAATTTTAACCTTAATAAAAACACAACCTGGTGTCTAAAGCTTTCAGAAAAGATGGATCGAAACTACAGCACCCTGATTTGCTGGATAAAAGCCAATCAACCCGCACCATTTTCGATCCTCCAAACGATCAAGGGTGCATATAATGACGGCTAACAATACGGAATGGTTCAGAGTTCACCTTCAACTAAGGAACAGTTGCTAAATTTTTCAAACTAAACGCTTGCGTCCGATTGCTTAAAAGTTTAAATAAGAGTAGAATTGAACAAAATCCATCATTATTTTGTAATGTGTAAATCATTTGCTGGTTGGATCAATTACGACAAAAAGCGCGCCCTTTCAACTTTTTACATTATTTAATGTTCTCTCTTTATACCGATCGATTTCAATTAAACAAGCGGTTCCTCACATCTCTATTATGGACAGAGACGTAATTGGAAATTAATGGAAAAGGACTATATACAATGTATTACGGTGTTTAATTGTTTTGCTTGCAATACTTACGTCACAAAACCTTCCCCTTGTTTTCCCCTTCCCCCGATTGATCTTGTCTACAATCATTCGATGTCTCAACCCTAAAAATTCATTCCAACAATAAGACTGAATTTTTGTTTGCACTCTGCCTATAAACATTGAGTCTTAGTCTTTAGTTAATCAGAACAATCTATATAACGTGTCACAGCAGATGACTGTTACGAAAGGTTACTACTTAACGGCCGAGAAGATAATTAATGTAGATATTTCATCGAAAGGAAAAATTCATGTTTATAGTATTTACAAGTGAAACCATGGCTGAAACTCAGTTACCGTTTTTATCGTAAACTAACTTCTAAAAGAGACAAGCCTGCCCCAGTGTGAGGATTTTCACCTTTTATGGACAAATCTGTGTTAACTATGGCACCAAGACCCTTGGCGGTTTCGAGGAAAGGTCTTACAACCGTCATTTTAACGCTTACTGCCAAAGAACACGTAACAATGTGACAAAATCGCCACTTTCAAAGTGTAAACGAGCAATCAACAGCCGGAGTAGTTCTTATAGCTGTATCTTTGTCTGCATTTAAAAAGTGAAATCTCCCATTCGCGGCTTGGCCGTGGAAGATCTGGGTATGTCATTAGGCGCGTCTCACGGCGGAACTTCTATTCTCGAAGCTCTTAAGAAACGACCAAACGCACTTCAATATTTAGTAACTTAAGCAACCTTTGGACAAGTCCGCCTATACCATCGCGAGTCCACATTTGATACAAATCTGTTCTTGTTCTCACTTCGCTAACAGACAACCAGCCACTTTTAGCACCTTAAACACAATCAACTAAGCTTTGTAATGGCGTATCCCTCTCATCGAAAAAAGACAATTAGGATACCGTCACATACGTTATTTCCCGATCCCAAAAATCATATCAATCAACGGTAGAAACAGGCCAAAATCAGACGTCTTTATGAACACAATTTGGATTTTGGAGCACTGTTGCCTGTTGAAAGGTTCATCAACGACAGAATGGCCGTACAAGAAACTCTACACATTTCCAACGTTAGCTTTTGCGACGTTTTCCGTTGTGAACTAGTCACTCAATTATCCTTATCAGCTTCCAGTGTTATATAGGCTATTGTCTCCACCACAATCCACCACTAGGTCCGTTTGTTGGATCAGCGGACAAAGAATGTTCTTGTCAGCTACCTCGATGCTGACCAACAACAACGTAGGCCGTGTTTATGGACGGAATGGATTCTCCAAAATGAGGTTGCCGTTAATTGACAAGAACTAAACAAAATTTTGAAGGAAGACAAAGGAAGACGAGAAACCCGGAAATATTAGGTTCCAGCCCTTTTTCAGAAACCTCACCGGAAGACTCAAAAGCCTTTCTGACGTCACAAAACAGGTGCTAAATTTTTCAATATAAAAATTTGCGTCCGATTGTTAAAAAGTTCAAAAGAACGCAGGAAAGTTAACAACATTTATCACTCTTTCACAACGTCTATGTCATTTTTATATCATTTCAGTAGTTTCCACGTTTTCATAATGATTTAACGTTCTATTATTACACCAAGCGTTTTTAATCAAACAAGCACATCCTTCCCAGATAGAAACAGTTCACATCTCAATTATGGACGGGGAAGTAATTGGAACTTAATGGAAAGGGACCATATATTGCGGTGTTTAATACAGAGAAGTAGTTACGTCACGTTGCCATAGTGGCAAAATTTCTGGATGACAACAAACCGAAAAACGTCACTTAAAACTGTTTCAGACTTCATCGATCTCGTTCAGTTTCAATAAATTTGTCAAATGTCGGCTAAACTTTCTGCGGTTAAATCCTAAAGGACCGTATTTAAGTTAAGAAAAAGAAAAAAAATCGCGTTGTTTTCACCTAGTTTATGAAGCGGACGCGTGAAATTAGGAAGTTTCACGTCGTAGTCGTGCTACGACGGCTAAGAAATGTACAAAAAAGCGTGGTGAACGTGCAAAGTTGTTGTTTTGCTATCTAAACTTATTGCGTTTTCGCCGTTCTTGTTGCCATCTTCGTCGTCGTCGTGGTCGTCGCTTAAGCGTTCCCTATTGTTGTGATCCTAAAATTTTGCTACCATGGTAACACGGTGACGTCACACTTCTCCTCTCTATTGCTTTGCTTTCAAAACTTAGCTCGCAAAACCTTTCCGATCTTTCCTGGGTAGCTTTGTCTACAATCGAATTGGTGTTTGAACCTATTAAAATTTATGCCAACAATAACAATTTCTGTTTGCACTCTACTTATACACATTAAGTCTAAGGTTCGGCAAAACAAACCGGCTATATAACGTGTCACAGCAGATGGCTGTTATGAAAGGTAGCTAATTAACAGAGGGGGATATTAGTGTATATAGTTTATCGGCAGGAAAAATTTATCTATATAATATGACAATTTAAAACATGGATGAACAGTACTACGCTCGAATACTGGACTTTTTGGTACAACTTGTTAGCCAAAGGAGAAGTTTCTTCTTTGCTTTCCTGTCTTCCGTCATCTTTCTTTCAGATTAGCCCCAACTGGGGACTGGCGACGATGCAGTCTGTATGAGCTAGCGTAAAAATCTACAGATCCATCGATGTAGAAATCCACCGATCGTTTTCAAGTAAACTAGCCGTCCTTCTCAACAGGGAGCAGCTCATATCTCAATTATGGACAGAAACGTAATTTGAAATTAATGGAAAAACCATATACAATGTATTACGGTGTTTAATTGTTTTGTCTGCAATACTCACGTCATAAAACCTTCCCCTTGTTTTCCCCTTCCCCCGATTGATCTTGTCATCGGTTCGGTGTTTCAACCCTTAAAATTCATTCCAACAATATAACTGAATTTTTGTTTGCACTCTACCTAGAAAGATTGTGTCTGAGTCTTTAGTTTAATAATCAGAACCATCTATATAACGGGTCACAGCTGTTACGAAAGGTAGCTAATTAACCAAGAAGGTAATTAATGTAGATATTTCATCGAATAGAAAAATTAATATTTATAGTTTGATATTCGATATCGGAATTGGTCTCGCTGGAAAGAGAAACAAAAAGACGCCTTTGATCTTAATTCCTTCTACAATTTCTACGAAATGGAATTTAGCAAGAAAACCAATAGACTTGCAGCGCAAAAAGACCAAGACAACATATAATGTAAATTTCAATTCAGCATTTTAAACATTGGGCTGAAAGGCGATTTGTTATAATAAATACCTACCTAAGAGTGGTCTCTGCGAAATTGGATCTGGTCTCTATGAATTGCGAGACAAGAAGACGCCTTTGGAGCATTTAAGTAATGAAACTTAGCTCTGTTTTTCATCGTCAAAACACTTCTTACAGAGAGAAACGTAAAAGCATTTTCCATTTTAATGTACAATGTTAGCTACGGTGCAAGAACCTTATCGTTTTCAAGAAATATCCTTACAACAATGACTGTACCGATAACTGTCATTTATAAAAACCTCACCTGCTTGGAAGACTAAAAACACTCGCTGAGCGGGCATCACCGTCAACTACGAAATGAGCGCTAAACTTTTCAAAACTCAAACCTTGTGTCAAAAGTTTAAATAAAAGAATAGAACTAAACAAAATCCACCTGTATTTTACTATGTTTCAAAAATTTCGCTGGACGGTTAAATTTAGAGGAAAACTTCGCCCTTTCAACGTTCTAGAATGAATTAAAGTTTTATTTTCTATACCGAGCATTTGCAATTTTAAAAACAAACGGTTCTTCTCAGCAGGCAACAGCACACATGTCAATTATGGACAGAGAGGTAATTGGAATTTGATGGAAGGACTATACATTGCAGTGTGTAATAATTGTTTTGTTTTTAATACTAGTGTTGCAAAACCTTCCCCTTCCACTGTTTTCTGGGTGGGCGTTGTTTTATACAATTTAATTCGTTGTTTCAACCCTTGAAATTTATACCAACAATGACATTAAATTTCTGTTTACACTTTACCTATAACATTAAGTCTAACGATTTAGTTAATGAACCGGCTTTATTACGCGCTACAGCAGATGGCCGATGTGAAAAGTAGCTAATAAACCGAGGGGGTAATTAATGTAGATATCAGTTTTATCCAAGACAAATACATGTATGTAATGTGACAAGTAAAACTATGACTGAAAAGAACTGCAATCGATTTCTGGATTATTGCATTAAACTAGTTTCCTACAGGAGCAGTTTCTTCCTTGGTATCTAGGTTTTAAACTTTGTATTTTCCCTCCCTTTATAATGCCAAACAAGAGAGGCACACCGACAAAGGAAGTCCGCCTACAATAGTTTATATGTCTCCCGGCAATAGTTTTTTTAGCGTGTTGTTGTCCTCATTCGAGCAATATGTAAAAGGTTTTCAAAGGTCTCACGTCGGTGAAGATGTGCGGCCTGTCACCCCTTACAGTTTTTACTATGTGGATTTTTTCACGTGATGGCCTAACTGTGCTTAACCCTTTAGGCACTAAGAGTGATAAGCATCAAATTTCTCCTAGTAATATTCCTGCTGTAGAAAACAAGGTTGTTATGAGAATTAGGGACATAATCACACAGATTCTTTGACAGCTTCTCTCAACTACTATTATCATGAGGAAACGTATGGGAACAACAAATGAGAATTTGAATTTTAATATTACAATTTAAGGGACTATTATGTGACCAGGTAGATTAGTTCTTGCACTAAATGGTCTCAGATCTTCGCCAAGAAAAAGCATTTTAAATTCCGCTAACTTATGTCAGAGACACAAGAACGTGACGAACGTGTCACTTTCAGTTCCATATTTATACACTGGAATCCTAATTTTTGTGAATTTGGTGGGGAAGAGCTTACAAACGAGTAAGGTTATTGGGATCGTTGTGCGCTAGTCCATTCAGACTACATAACACCGTTGTGAGTCCCCAGTTGAGGCTAATTAGTTTCCAGTCCTTTTTTAAAAACATCACCAGCTTTGAAGACTCAAAAGCCTTGTTCACGACACCTTGAACTAAGGAACAAGTGCTAATTTTTTCAAAGTGAAAAATTGCTTAAAACAAAAATCCACCATTATTTCATATGTGTAAATCATTTGCTGGTCGGATCAATAAACAGAAAATACTCGCTCTTTCAACGTTTTACAATGATTTAACATTCTATTTTTATTCTAATCGTTTCCAATTAAGAAACTGTTTCCTCTTAGCAGGGAGTAGCTCACGTCTCAAATATGGACAGAGAGGTAATTGGAACTTAATGGCAAAGGACTATATATTACGGTGTTTAATTTTTTGTTTTCAATACTAATGTCGTAAAACCTTTCCCTTGATTTCTGAGTTGGCCTTGTTTACAATTCGATTCGGTGTTTTAAACCTTACAATTTTGTACCAACAATAGGAATTTCGGTATGCGCTCTAACTATAAACATTGAGTCTAAAGCTTTAGTTAATGAACCGTCTATATAACGTGTCATGGCAGATGGCTGTTATGGAAGGTAGCTAATTAACCGAGGGGGTAATCAATGTAGATATTTTACCAAAAGGAAAAATTCATCTATATAATTTGAAAAGTTAAACCATGGCTGAACAGTACTGCCCACGGTTGCTTGATTCCTTGGTTCATCTTGTTCATCACAGAAGATCTTCCCTCCTTGCTTTTTCTGTTTTAAACTTTGTATTTTCTGTCGTGGCGACTCTTGAAAACCTTTTAGTAATTCGCGCCTTAATGAAGGCCTCAACGACACCAGCTACTGTGAAAAAGCTGTTCCTAAGTCTGGCTTTCTCTGATCTTGCAGTTGGACTGTGTTCGCAGCTTATCATCGCTATTATCATCGCCTCGATATTGAAGATGGCATCAAGTGGAAACAACACAGCCTTCTTTTGTCCAACAGTTTTGGGTGTGCAAATTTACTTTGCCCATCTTCTTGCCACTGCATCTTTTCTGAATGTTATTGTCTTCGCATTTGATAGACTTCTCGCTGTTTCGCATCATCTGCGATATCAGGAGCTTATTACACCCAAGCGTGTTAATATAGCATTGGTGTCTTTGTGGTTCATAAGTTGTATCGCCGCCTTCATATTCGTTTTCCTTTCGACAAGCAATGAAATAGTAACCGCAGTTATTTTTATGACAGGGTATGTTTTGACCACCGTAGCATATGTTCGTATTTACAAAGTCGTCAAATATCATCAGAATCAGATATACAGCCAAAATCAGCTTCAAAATGCCCAAACAAGGGAGGTACTCCGACAAAAGAAGTCCGCCTATAATGCTATATTTGTCTATCTTGTTTTTCTAGCTTGTTATCTTCCTTTTGTGCCTTCAACAATACTGTATATGACAAATGGAATTTCGTTTTTCGTAGCTCATTTCGCATCGATATTCTTGATCTTCCTCAATTCATCATTAAATCCTCTTGTTTATTGCTGGCGGTACCGACAAATTCGCCAAAGTGTAAAAAGCACAGTGAAGAAATTATTTCACATGAACGAGAACGTGACATGAGAAACGATTTAAAGCTTTGGATAGTTTGAACTGAAAGTCTTTCCAGTGTATTTTGCGAGGTCTGCAAAACGAAATATGGTAACGATACCAATGGACTTATTTTGGTGCAAAGAAAATGAGAAATGTAAAACGAAACAGAATATTCTGTTAGAAACACGGAACTGGTGTTGATAAATTGTGAAACGAGACCTGGCTAATAAACTTCTCAACATTCTCAACGGTTCCACGCCGACATCCGTTACAGTTACTCACTCATTATCCCTTGCCACTTCGAGGAACAATCATACATGATATACAATTAAACGATATGTTTATATACTTTACATAAAAGGAAGGCAAGACTCTTATTTTTTCCAAATTTTATCCTTAATAAAAACGCAACCTAGTGTCTAAAGCTTTCAGGAAAGACGGATCGAAACTACAGCAACCTGATTGGCTGGCAAGGAGCCAATCAAACCGCACCATTTTCGATCCTCCAAACGATCCAGGGTGCATGTATAAACGCCTACCAAATCACAGCTAACAGTACGGAATGGTTCAGAGTTCACCTCAACCATCCAACTACATACCAACTGCTGCGAATCGTAAGATTCCAAACCACGGTTTTGCAAGTAGCACAAAGAAGCCAGTCAGTTGATCGGTAAACAAAGTAAATGCTATGGTATTTTAAATATCGAGCTTTTAAAACTAATAAACTACAGTCACATTCACAAAGAGATTGAGTGAAAAAACGACATTCAAAGGACACAGCATTATAACGTATTTAAATAATGCTTCCACCAGAGGTCCGACAAATACCCAGAGTCTAATCCGGACATATTTAAAGAATGTATGCTGTGCACAGCTAAACATCGTGCACTGAGGTCGCGTAAACCTCAACTGTACGGAGATGTTAAAAGCGGATACTTAAGATAACAGAAGCTATTGAAAATGATCATAATTACTTTCACGCGATTTTAAGCAGACATATCTTATAAAACGTACATAAAATTCAACAGAAAGCACACAAAAAGAATAAATTGTCTGTTGCATTTTTCCTCTGCTGCGCATAGAATGCACTGAGCCTTTCTTTGCTCGGCTTTATAGAAGCTGTGTCAACTTAACAGGCATAACAGCCCACCTATCGTAGAACTTTTAAAGTGTAAAATCCCTGAAAGAGTTCTCCTCTCTGGCTCCGCTAGCCCCTATAGTTATTCCAGGCACCCAGAACTCGAATTTTACTTCCAATATTTTCATTGTCGTAATTAAGTGTTAAGCAAGAGTGAGACCAAATAAAGATTGTTGTTGTTATTGTCCTCATTGAAGCAATATGTAAAAGGTTTTTACAGGTTTCACGCCAGTGAAGATGTGCGGCCTGTCACCCTTTACAGTTTTTAATATGAGGATTTTGTCATGTGATGGCCTAACTGTGCTTAACCCTTTAAGCCCTAAAAATGAGCAGCATCAAATTTCTCCTAGTAATATCTCTCCGTTATAAAACAGGGTTGTTATGAGAATTAGGGACATGATCACACAGATTCTTTAACAATTTCTCCCAACTACTATTATAGCAAACCTGTAGGGACAACATATGAGAATTCAAGAGTTAAGAATTAAAGGGTTTATATATGACCAAGAAGATTAGTTCTTGCACAAAATGGTCTTAGACCTTCGCCAAGAAAAAGCATTTCAAATTCCACTATCTGATTTCGGTGACATAAGAACGTGACGAACGTTCATGTTACAATACAATACTGCTCTCTCTGAACTGTGAAACAACAAGAAACCTTTAGGGCACTTACTTAAAAAACTGTATACACCTATTTGCAATAAGGTTGTCATAGAAAAAAGCAAAAAGCAAAAAGCAAAAGGCAAAAAGCCAAATAGGAATTAATTAGCATTTAATTATCATTGCTTGCAACATTCCCAACACACACGCTTATAGCTGAATATTAATCACGTAACATGAGAGAAATCATTTGTATCAGTTTCTTGGTGTCATTCTAATGCAATTCGAGGCGGATTTCAAACGTGCTCTAATTACAAACGTACATCGGATAACTACTAAAGAAAAAATGGCTCCATTTTTTTTTCAATAAATATAGCCTAGGGTAAATTCCAGGAACGCGACGCGTCTTTTCGTTTAATGCTAAATAGAAAAGCCAGTCTGCGTATGGTTTGTAGTGCACCACACCATCAGATCACAATTTTCAAGCAACAAATCAGGGGCGTAGGCAGGACTTTCCATCGCAGAGAGGGTGAGGCGTTCCTCAGCCAGTCCCTCTCCCGCGCCACAAAAAGCTTCGTTTGTCAGGACCCTTTTGTTACACACATCAGTGTTTCATCTGCGGAATCTTACAGCGCGGAATTACAGAATTATTTCTTGTTATTGTGACTGACTTCTTAAATAATTGTTATATTATTAAAATACGCAAATGTAAATCACATGGCTAATTAATTCCTATTTGGCTTTTTGCTTTTTGCTTTTTTCTATGACAACGTTATTGCAATTAGGTGTATGTACCGATTACTACCAAAGAAAAAGTAAAAATGTGACAAAATGGCGAATTTTTGAGATGGAAACGATTTCCATCTTGGCAATCGCCAGACAAAAAAGTTGCTTACAACTGTACGTATGTCTCGATTTAAAATACAAGGTCTCTATTTCGCTTGACCGTGGAAAATCTGGGTACGAGATAAGACGCATCCTACGGCGTAAGCCTAAAGTGAAAGTTGCCATGTTAAGGCTCTTTAGAGAAGAACACAAATACTCGTTGGCATTTGAGAAGAGTTTCAGATTACATTGTCGTGAGTCCCCAATTGAGGCTTATCTCAAAGAAAGAAGAAGGAGGACGAGAAGAGCCCGAAATATTAGGTTTCGGTCCTTTTTCAGAAACCTTTTCGACTCTGAAGTCTCAAACGCCTCGTCGACGACACCTTGAACTACCAAAAAGATGCTGACTGAAAACTTACGTCAGATTCCTTATAAGTTTAAATAAAAGTATAGAATTAAATAAAATCCATCATTATTTTATGTGTAAATCATTTGCTTGTCGGATGAATTATTAACGAGAAAATAACTCGCCCTTTCAAGCTGACACCGAGCGTTGTCAATTAGGGAAGAAGTTCTACTTAGCAGGGAACAGCCCACATTTCAATTAAGGACAGAGAGGTAATTGGAACTTGATGAAAACGGACTATATATTGCGGTGCTTAATTGTTTTGTTTTCAATAATAATGTCGCAAAACCGGCGTTCCCGTTGTTTTCTGAATTGGCCTTGTTTTCTACAATTTCACTTCGTATTTCAACCCTTAAAAATTATATCAACGATCAGACTGAATTTCTGTTTGCACTCTACCTATAAAACAATGAGTCTAAGGCTTTAATTAAAGAACCGGCTATATGACGTGTCACAGCAGATGGCTTATTTGAAAGGTAGCTAATAAACGGAGGTGTAATCAATATAGATATTTCATCGAAAAGAAAAACTTCATGTATATAATCTAGCAAGTTAAACCATGGCTCAACAGTACTGCACTCGAATCCTGGATTTTTTGTTACCAATTCTCTCATTGTTCGCCTCAGAAGAAGTTTCTTCTTTGCTTTCTGTGTTTTAAACTTTGTATTTTCTCTCGTGGCAAATCTTTGAGTTATCCGCGCGTTAATCAAGGCCTCTACGCTACCAGCCAACGTCAAGAAGATGTTGAATTGCAAAAAAGAGGAGAACTGGGGCGAGGTAAAGGGAAAGAGATATGATACTTTTTTCTCCTCTCCCTCTCCCCTTTTTTCCTTATTTCGCCCTAGGGTTTAACCACCACCACCACCACCACCGCCACCACGTTTCTATTGTTTTCCCTCCACCACCATCACCACCACCACCACCACCACATTTGTATTGTTTCCCTCCACCACCGCCAACACCACCGCCACCACATTTCTATTGTTTTCTCTCCACCACCACCACCACCACCGCCACCACATTTCTATTGTTTTCCGTCTACCACCACCACCACCACATTTGTATTGTTTTCCCTTCACCACCACCGCCACCACATTTCTATTGTTTTCCCTCCACCACCACCACCGGTTCCTTGTAAAGGAGGGTAGTGGTTTTATTGAAGATGTATTAGCCCCTGTTGTTTCAAGCGTAGGATTTCTACTGCTATAAAAGAGGTGACGCAACGGCAAGTTGATCATTCGAAGCTGAGTCTGTCACGGGTACTCATCAAAATGAAGAGAAAGATAGATTTGGTTGAAGAAGAACACGAGAGTGAACATGAAGAAAGCGAAAGTTCTGGAGATGAAAGCGACGATGAAGAACCGAGAATAAAAGAAGAACCAAGAATAAAAGATGTTTTGAGTCATCTTTTCCGCGCAGTGCCGGAAAAGCGTGCTTCTGATTTGCTGCATAGTATGGCCGTGTCCAAAGATATTCTTTTCTGGACTCCCAGCGGACAATTACTTCGAAATAAACGCACTATTCCCTTCACAGACATCGCTGAGCTAGTTGAGTATGTGTTACTCCCTCATAACAATAAGGTTACCAAGCCTCGAGCGCTGAATACGTTTCTAGATGGACTTGCAGAGTTAGGAATCGATAAAGTTTTAATGAAGAACAAAAAGTTGGTAAGTGATTTAATAGAAAAGAAGAAAGGCTACCGAAATGTAGAAAATACTTCCGATAACGAGAGTAATAATGAGGAGAGTTCATCGGATATTGAAAATCAGGAGGAGGAGGAGGAGGAGGAGGTGGCTTCTGAGAATGGCGTTGAAGCTGAAGGCAACCCAAGAGACCAACAACGACACTGAAAACGACAGTCAGGAAACGGAAAGTAGTAGCCCTGAAACGTCCACCGCCTTTCACTCTAAAAGTGCTCCCTGTGAACATTGCGAGGACTCTAATGTGTACTGGACATTGATCATGAAATGTCCTAAATGCTTTTGGCACGATTACTACAAGATTTGTCCAATATGCGATCACCAGATTACAGAGGGGAGAAATTACATGAAAGAGGGCTTTCGTCGGTGTCACGATTGTGGAGCAGTTACACACACAAGGCGAAGACGTTGGAAACCAATTTCTATTCCCCTTCAAAAGAGGAGAACGAAGATGAAGATTAATTAATTTCCATTCCTTACAAATCGCTGTGTATTTGACTTTTTTTGTCATTGTTTTCAATAAACTTTATAAAACGGTATCTCTCTTGTGGTATTATTGCTGGCAATTATTAGTCGCGTGTTTTAATTGATCCTTGTTAAGTTATTTAAAATTGTTTATATAATAATACGTCAAGGTTCTCCCTTGGGTTTTTCCTGTAGAGCTAATTTGTATTCAACTTTGGGCTTGCGAACTCGCATAATTAACTGACTAACGGCTGAAACGCCGAGACTTTAATAGTTTTTCATGTCCTCGAGATAGAAAGGAGAAAACGGTTCTGTAACAGTCAGACAAAATTGAAATAGAGAGTTTTCAGCTCCACATTGTGTATATGTGTATTTGTTTTGTTTATATATCCGAGTTTTAGAGCTAAATAAGAAGATTTTTTGGCATTTGGTAGGGAAGGGCTTAAAAACGAGCAAGGTTATTTGGGCTTGCTGTGCGCTAGTCTATTCAGACTACATAACACCGTCGTGAGTCCCCCAGTTGGGGCTAATTAGTTTCCAGTTCTTTTTTAAAAACATCACCAGCTTTGAAAACTCAAAAGCCTCGCTGACGACACCTTGAACTAAGGAACAAGTGCTAAAGTTTTCAAACTGAAAGATTGCTTAGAAGTTTAAATAAAAGAATAGAATTGAACAAAATCCCTCATTATTTTATTGTGTGTAAATCATTTGCTGCTCAGATCAGTTAAGAAAAAAAACTCGCTCTTTCAACGTTTTACATAATTTAACATTCTATTTTTATAGCCATCGTTTTCAGTTAAAGAAGTAGTTCCTCTTAGCAGGACGTAGCTCACATGGCAATTATGGGACAGGAAGGACGACAGAGAGATAATTGGATCTTGATGGAAAAGGACTATATATTGCGGTGTTTAATTTTTTTTGTTTTCAATACTAATTTCGCAAAGCCTTCCCCTTGCATTGTTTTCTCAGTTGGCCTTAATTACAATTTGATTCGGTGTTTCAAACCTTAAAATTTTTTACCAACAATAAGAATTTCTGTATGCACTCTAACTATAAACATTGAGTCTAAAGCTCTAGTTAATGAACCGCGGAGTAACTTTTAGATTGGGGGGCACTATCCTGAGCGCCGATGGCGCGAGTTTTCAAGGGGGTCCGGGGACATGCCTCCCAGGAAAATTTTGAAAATTTGAGGTTCTAGAATCGCTAGAAATGCATTTAAAATTGATAATCGCCAAAAAATGGCCGTGAATTTATATAAGGTGAAGTGCGTTATAAGCATTAGAAGCTCAACTTTTTCATGTTGAATCAGTCAAGTGAGTTAGGGTTTGAGTCGGAACTAGTGCTCGTTGTTTTTCTTACGCAGTGATACGCTATAAACAGCTGAACATGAACATGTTAACAACAACAGTAACAAGTAACGATCAAATCAAAACTAGTCTGTAAAATCCCACTGATCATGGTAAAATATCTTGCACTGTCAAAGTACTAAAGTTTCTTTTCCTGTTTTCATTTCTTGCTATAAACTCGTTTGTTATATTCACAAGTCGTAAGTTATCGGTACGGGTCCTGTGGGTGTTTAACAAGGCCACGTGATTGAAGCGCTTTTGCGACATTTTGCTCTAAACCAGGACATTATTCGCCTTGCTGTTGAAAACGAACGTTCGCCAGAAGCACTTGTTGCGGGGTTGACGTGAATCAGAACACAGATCTGTATCACCTCACTGATCATACTCTCTCGCGACTCGGCCGCCATCTTTCTTATTTTGCAAACTTTTCTCCTGTACTCTTTGACCGTTTCGTTATTAAAACAACAGATGGCCGATGTGAAAAGTAGCTAATAAACCGGGAGGTAATTAATGTAGATATCAGTTTTAACCACGACAAATACATGCACATTGTGACAAGTAAGACTATGGCTGAACAGACCTGCACTCGATTTCTGGATCAATGGATTAAACTGGTTTCCCACAGGAGAAGTTTCTCCCTTGGTTTCTCTGTTTTAAACTTTGGATTTTCCCTAGTGGCGACTCTAGGAAATCTTTTAGTCATCCGTGCCTTAATGAAGACCTCAACGATACCAACCACCGTCAAGAAGCTGTTCCTAAGTCTGGCTTTCTCTGATCTTGCAGTTGGACTGTGTTCGCAGCTTATGACCGCTATTATCAGTGCCGTGATGTTGAAGATGGCATCAAGTGAAGACGACGTAGCCTTCTTTTGTCCAACAGTTTTGATCGTACGTTTATATTTTCTGCATCTTCTCGCCGCTGCATCTTTCCTAAATATTATTGTCATTGCATTTGATAGACTTCTCGCTGTTTCGCTCCATCTGCGATATCAGGAGCTTGTCACGCCCATACGTGTTACAATAGTGTTGGTATCTTTATGGTTAACAAGTTGCATCGCTGCCTTCCTATATATTTTCCTTCCGAAAGGCATTGAAATGGCAGCTGGCGTTTTTTCCGTTCTAGGGTATGTTCTGACAACCATGGCGTATGTTCGTATTTACAAAGTCGTCAAATATCATCAGAATCAGATATACAGTCAAAATCGGCTTCAAAATGCACAAACAAGGGAGGCACTCAGACAAAGAAAATCCGCATACAGCAGTTTATTTGTTTGTGTACTTTTCTTAGCTTGTTATTTTCCTTATTTTCCTTGTACCATACTGTACACGACAAACACCACTGAAATTTCGTTTCTCGTAGCTCATTTTGCGTCGGTTTTCTTAATTTTCCTGAATTCATCATTAAATCCCATTGTTTATTGCTGGCGGTACCGAGAGATTCGCCAAATTGTAAAAAGCACAATGAAGAAAATACCTCGTTTGGACGAGAACATGACGTGAGGATGCGACGTTCTACGAGACGAAATTTGGAGAGAACGAGCAATTGTAGAAGGAAACTGGGACGAGTTAACTTTCTCAAAGACTTCTGGGTCTGTTACAAGGGACAAGGGCTGATGGGCGCCTCCCCACCTGAGTAACAGTCCCAGAAAAAATTGCGGGAAATATTTCGGCCCTAATCGCTTCGAAAGTGGCGAATGGGCTTGCTGTGCCCAAAGACCAAGGACAGGCTTTAATCTCAAGATAGTTTTAACTAAAAAAATATAATGCGAAGTTTTACGAAACGAAATTAAGTCAGAAAATACAATGGACTTTCTTTGCCCAAAGAGCAAGGAAAGGGTGAAAAGGGAAAAGACTGGTCTATTCGACATCGGAAATGGTCTCGCTGGAAAGAGAAACAAAAAGACACCTTTGATCTTAATTCCGTCTACAACTTCTACGAACTCGAATTTACCTGGAAAACCAATGGACTGGAGGCGCAAAAAGACCAAGAAACTGACATATAAAACTGAATGTCAATTGAGCATTTTAAACATTGGGTTGCAAGGCGAATTTTTAGAATAACTACCCAACTAAGACTGATCTCTTCGCTTCTGGACCTGCTCTCTCTAAATCGTGAAACAACAAGAAACCTTTAGGGCACTTACTTATGTGCCGATTACTACCAAAGAAAACGTAAAAATGTGACAAAAAGGCGAATTTTTAAGATGGAAACGATTTCCATCTGAGCAATCGCCAGACAAAAAAGTTGCTTACAACTGTACGTATGTCTCGATTTAAAATACAAGGTCTCTATTTCGCTTGACCGTGGAAAATCTGGGTACGAGATAAGACGCGTCCTACGGCGTAAGCCTAAAGCGAAAGTTGCCATGTTGCCATAATCGTTGGCATTTGAGAAGAGTTTCAGATTACATTGTCGTGAGTCCCCAATTGAGGCTTATCTCAAAGAAAGAAGAAGGAGGACGAGAAGGGCCCGAAATATTAGGTTTCGATCCTTTTTCAGAAACCTTTTCGACTTTGAAGACTCAAACGCCTCGTCGACGACACCTTGAACTACCAAAAAGATGCTGACTGAAAACTTACGTCAGATTCCTTATAAGTTTAAATAAAAGTATAGAATTAAATAAAATCCATCATTATTTTACGTGTACATCATTTGCTGGTCGCATGAATTATTCACGAGAAAATAACTCGCCCTTTCAAGCTTACACCGAGCGTTGTCAATTAAAGACGAGGTTCTACTTAGCAGGGAACAACCCACACGTCAATTAAGGACAGAGAGTTAATTGGAACTTGATGAAAACGGACTATATGTTGCGGTGTCTAATTGTTTTGTGTTCAACACTAATGTCGCAAAACCGGCGTTCCCGTTGTTTTCGAAATTGGCCTTGTTTTCTACAATTTAACTCAGTATTTCAACCCTTAAAATTTATATCAACGATCAGACTGAATTTCTGTTTGCACTCTACCTATAAACATTGAGTCTAAGGCTTTAGTTAAAGAACCGGCTATATGACGTGTCGCAGCAGATCGCTTATTTGAAAGGTAGCTAATAAACGGAAGCGTAATCAATATAGATATTTCATCGAAAAGAAAAACTTCATGTATATAATCTATCAAGTTAAACCATGGCTGAACAGTACGGCACTCGAATCCTGGATTTTTTGTTACCAATTCTCTCATTGTTCGCCTCAGAAGAAGTTTCTTCTTTGCTTTCTGTGTTTTAAACTTTGCATTTTCTCTCGCGGCGACTCTAGCAAATCTTTTAATTATCCGCGCGTTAATGAAGGCCTCTACGCTACCAGCCAACGTCAAGAAGATGTTGAATTGCAAAAAAAGAGGAGAACTGGGGCGAGGCTAAGAGAAAGAGAGATGATACTTTTTTCCTCCTCTCCCTCTCCCCTTTTTTCCTTTTTTCGCTTTAGCGACAACCCATGGATTGCTATTTCTACTCTCCCCGATCGTCATCTGTCCAAAAAAAAAAATTAAAGATGGGAGACAATTCTTTACTCACCAAAGACACTTGGCCGATCGCTTGGGCATGCGCGTTAGAGGTGGATCGACGCATGCCAGGTGATAGTGGTAGTGGCACGTGTCACACTGCACCAGTTGATGTTGATTCTCGGTTGTTTTGCACGTGTTGCACCTGCCGGGGAAAAACGTGACAAAACATTCAGGTTATGTTATAACTTCCTTTTCCTTTTTAAACAGATCATTTACTCGAGCCAACGGAAAACGCTTTTCGTGGAGTTATCGGGAGTTCGAAGCAAGTAACCAAAAACGAGAAAATAAGAAAATGGGAAGGGGAAAGAATACAAGTATCATGCACACTTGGAATTAAGAAAACAGAACTTCAATTAAAATACACAGGGCTGGACACTGTAATCGAACTGAACTGACCAAAAAGTGAAGACAAAGAATACACAGCTGTTTTGAAATATTAAATTCAATATTTCGGACTGTAGTAGACACTTTTTTCCTTTTTTGATCGACTTGACATGGTTCCAGTTATCGAGGGTAAAATTATGTAGAGGTCATCTGAAGGGAAGCAAAAATAACTTCGAGTGAGCGGGAGGTTCGAGTTATCAAGGGCTCGAGTTACCGAGGGTAAAATTACGGTATATGTATGAAAGAAATCCAAGGAAATCGATTTTGGTTCGACTTAGCGAGGGTTCGTGTTATCGGGAGTCGACTGTATTTGAATTTGGTTAACCTAGTGAGGTTTAAATAACAAAAACCCTTAATTTGCACAAAAAAGCAAAACCCTGAAGGATTCTGGTAGAAGTAGTAAAATGACGCCATCGTGGAAATGACCTATTTTCCAGCTAATCAATCTCGACCTAGTTCTCACGCTCTTGACTCCGCGTCATGTCATGCGCAATAGAGAAGGGTTCTGGGAAGGGGAAGGGAAGAGTCGGAAATACAGGCCAATCAGAAGCATATAGTGACTTCTAGAGTCGACCACAAAAACAGTGAATGCAGGGAACAAGTGTTAGCTTAAAGATTACAGTAGGGTACATTTTTTCAAAAGCCAAGCGCGAATCTCGAAAATTTTGCGCAAAATGAAACCTGAGCGCGAAGTCTTAAACGGTTATAAGACCTTAGGGCGTCAGTTTCTATAACTACGAAGGACAATGAGAAACGCTACATTAAAAAGTCGGGCTGAAGTAAAAACCCGCGACTAAGAACCTGCATAATTACATAAATGGTAATAAGCACAAATTTAGGCTATTTACGTTCGTAAATATTTAGGTTTTTGATTTATAGATTTTAGAAAATAAGAAGCAGTTTCAAATTTTAGCCTAACAAGTTATTAGTCGCGGGTTTTTACTGTATATCACAGCAAAGGAGTCACGCCGACTTTGCGTGACTTACAAGTAATCAAATCCAATATAGCGTCACTTACATGTGGAGTTTTAAAGGCTTCATCCGTGTTTGTGAAGCTGCCGTCTTCATTTTTTTGGATTCCAATACGGACGGCTGAGTTAACTCCTGAAAAGCAAAAAAAACAAAAAACAAAAAAAGCCTTTTCTTGGATAAACAAAGGCACTTTTGCGAGCCGTACAGGAGACGTTTTCATTGATACGTTGTGTAATAGGACAGGAAACTAAGTTCTGACAGCCTTCAAAAAAAAGAAAACTAACTAACTAATGAAATTGTTCGAGTCTTAAAAAAATGTAAGGAAGAAGCAGCAGTAGGACGGTTTTCCCCTACGCGCGAACAGTTTTCACTAAGACCCTGTGCACACTTACCCCGCATAAATTCAAAAACGCAACTTTTTTCTCCGCTTTGGCCTGGCGTCCACGGCGCTTTTGAAGGCTTTTCGAAAACGGTCTCCAGAGAGGATAATTTGTGAACCTGACTCTTGACTCAAGTAACGTGCATGCGCATGCTATAAAAGTCACACCTTCATCTTGGGCCTATATCCTCTACAGAGGTCTCTTTGCGCCAATAGGGGCTGGGGCCAATCAGAAGGGAAAAGAGAAAGAAATAGGCCTCCGCTCAGCCTTTCCTTCTTCCCATCGACCTCCGTGCGCTTACCATATCTTTTCAGTTTCAATTTTATTTTTGGAATACCAGTGGAGGACTCTGTAGCCTGAGAACCCCGCCCCCTCCTCCTACCGCACACAGGCTGAGGCCTCAGCAGAGAAGGGAGTTCTTGGATCAGGGCAACTTTTCGTTTAGAAATTTCATAAAACGTAGTGTAGATCTTCTTTACTGATACAGTCAACTTAATGGACACCTCCGTAAAACGGACACCTCCATAAGACGAACACCTCCGTAAAACGGACACCTCCATAAGACGGACACCTCTGTAAGACGGACACCTCTATAAGACGGACACCTCTGTAAGACGGACACCTCTATAAGACGGACACCTCTGTAAGACGGACACCTCTATAAGACGGACACCTCTATAAGACGGACACCTCTGTAAAATGGACTGCTAAGGTTGTCTCTCCCTTTCCTTACTCTCTTTATTTTACTCTCTATTGGACAGACATCTTTCTAAACGTGATGTTACACGGGACGATTCGCAACTACGATTTTTAGCGCAACACAGAGCTGCAATGTTGGGACAATGTAGTAACCATTCAAACCAATGTCGCAACAATGTTACAACGCTGTGTTGCGCTTAAAATCGTCGTTGCGAATCGTCTCGTGTAACATCACCTTAAGAGAGACACTTAGTGCTGGTCCTTAAGATGTCCTTCTTGCAGAGAGTACCCTGCTAGCAGAGTCACTTCGATCTTTCCTAGATAAGTCGGGAAAGAGGAAGCGTCTTCCCGACTTATCTAGGAAGATCGAAGGAGACTCTGTTCGCAGGGTATGCAGAGAGTTGACTGTAATTCATAAAGACGAAAGAAGACGTTAGTTACCTTGCCCGCCAGCTTACACAAGCAGCGGTGAAGCCGTGTCGTTTCTTGTCTCCTTTCAAGGATGTCTTCTGCCAATAGCTGAATAGTTTCAGTCAACTGATAGAGATGATAAACACAAATAAAACAGAACATTTCAATGGATAGTAGGAGGCAAGTGTTTTGGTTATTCGCCACGTTAAAAACGAGAGGGGAACTGGGCCGAGTAAACTTTCGCAAAGACTTCTGGGCATGTTACTGGCGCGTGCCCAGTAACGATCCCAGAAACAATTGTGGGACACATTTCGGCTCCAGATTCTTTCTCGTTTCAATAGTGCTTTTATACCATCGATTTCGCCAAGTTAGAAACGAGAGGGGAACTGGGTCGAGTAAACTTTCGCAAAGACTTCTGGGCATGTTACTGGCGCGTGCACAGTAACGATCCCAGAAACAATTGCGGGACACATTTCGGCTCCAGATCCTTTCTCGTTTCAATAGTGCTTATTAGTAGCTCAGTTTATACCATCGATCCCGGGAGTGACCTGAAACGTTTGTTTTGCTGTACAACATTGCTGTTATGTGGATAGAACCTTAAAGTGCGACTACTATAACCGGGGCCACCCAGAAAAAGTTGACCAATCGGATTACAGGAAAATAACAATTTATTCCTAGAAAGTTAGTTGTCAATCATAATTACCACGAAACAAAATTAACGACATGGATCGAAATTAACCAATTACAACCTGCAGACATGACCCTGTAAACCCGCTGAAGAAAGCACGTGTTTCCCAAGAGGTCCGTTAGAGTGAGTGACGGGGGCGAAAATCGTAAACGGTAGTTATATTTTTGACGTGCGGTCGCATGTTATTGCAAAGCGCGGCAACAGGAGCGAAGAAATTTCTGGTACATGACAAAATAACAACTTGTGCCAAAGAACTAGTTCTCCTGGGTGTTGTGTGCAAAGTTTCGAATAGAAAAACATTGTCTGGTGAAACATTCTGCTTTCCTGAAAAACGCTTGCCATCAATATTAAATTTTGTGCTTCGAGTAACTTATTGTTTTTTTACGAGTTGCTGATTGGCCAACGACCAACCTGCTTGGAATGTATTGTTATTTTTCTGTAATCCGATTGGTCAACTTTGTCTAAGTGGCCCCGGTTACAGTTGTCGTACTGTAAGGCAGTCATAAAAGTGAAAGCTGCTGGAAATATTTTGATACGGCAAAGTCGGTCTTGCTTTTAATAAGGCGTTTATGCAACCATAACGACAACGGCAACGAGAACGTCAAAATACATTGGTTAAACGAGAAGAACAACAGCTATGCACTTGCAGCACGTTCTTTGGTACATTTCTTCTCCACAGCATGACTACGAAGTGAAACCTTTTAATGTGAGGTTTTATAGAGGACGTGAACACAAGACGACAAATCTTTCTTGTTTAAAACTTGGCAGTATAGAGCACTTAAGAATTCAACTCAAAGCCTACATTTCACAAATTGACCAAGGGAATGTTTGCAGTCCTGAAGAACCCTTTTGTTCCTAAACTTGCCGATAAACAGGCAATTGAAGATGAACTTAACATCGATGGTGGTAAGCATATTTTAGCTTGTTTGTAAACTAGGAATTATTTTGAATGAATAATAAAACAATTATTGAATTCGGCTTTTGTATCATCTGAAGAATTACGTAGACCTCGGAGGGTATGCTCGATCTCCATAATTCTTCAGATCATACTCAGCCTCATCCAATAATTGTTAAATATAAGTAGAGAAAGATCAAATGTGTATCTACTGAATAGGGTGACCCCACAAACCACACGTTCATGAGGGGCCATTTGTAACGTGTACTACGAGGACCGCCTCTCTAGGCATGCGCCCTTGGCTTTCTCGCGCACCAAATTTTCCAACTCCCCACTATTTTTAAATGCCTACCACGCATTCTACAACCCCGGACAAAACTCTTTAGGTATTTCCATGTAATTTCGCGCCATACTACGATCATTTCTAACGGGAACAAAGTCGCCCTCTCCCCACCCCCTGTTCAAAGTTGGTTTGGTCTAAAAGCTCACGTGTGTAATTCTGGTGTTACCACAAACAAAATTGGAATAGGGGAAGGGGGGAACGGTTTTTCATTTTGCGACGGTAAGCTTTTTGGTCAGGACGAGTGCAAAAAATAGGTATTTTGTAATAGGCTTCAACAGTTTTTGTCCGAGGTTGTACCGAGCTACATGTAAGAATTCAAACCTCGTGATATTTCTCTCTCAAGTCCTGTTCCTCTTGTTGTAACCTTTTGTTGTTTGACTCAAGTTCTTCTTGGCTTTCCTGCATCTCTTTCAATCGAGCACTTCGATCTGATACAGAAACACAGTGAACGTTTCTTTAAAGGCCACCTCTGAAAGACGGACACCTCCCTAAACCAGACACCGACAGTTGGTTCCTGCCGTTGTTCAGTCATTTTCTTTGAAACTCTCTATATGACGGACACCTCCCTAAACCGGACACCTAAAGTTGGTCCCTGCCGTTCTCCACTCATTTTCTTTGACCCTCTACAAGATAGACACCTCCCTAAACCGGACACCAAGAGGTTGGTCCCTGCTGTGCTTCAGTCATTTTCTTGGACTCTCTATAAGACGCACCCTTTATTATAAATAAACTATGTGAAAAAATGTTAACATTATACTTACTGTGATAATAATGAACAAATTCGCTTGTGAGAGCAGGTTGGACAAACCATTTCCGCCGAACGTTTACAATACTCTGAGTCTAAGAAAAGGAAGGTTGGAAGAAAACGATTCACCCACATCTTTAAAATAGCCTAAAATCTGGTTAAGCCATAACTACAATGACTTATCGATGGGAACAGTCAACAACAAAATGGTTGAGACCCTTGAAATGGGCTACACTTTATAGGACAAAACAATCCGTACCCCTCCAGTCTTCCCCATCCTAACCTCCCCACCCCCTCCCCAAACAAAGCCAGCTTTCGCACCGGAAAGTGGAGCAAAGGCACAAAACTCACTTCGGGGGAGGGGGAGGAAAGGCTTGCTTAAGAGCATAAGAAAAACGTGCACAAAGTCTAGCTAACTCTGATGCCGATTAAAGGGCAGGGATAGTCTGCTACACAGCCGTTTTTAGTGTCGTCACGCAACGCTCGTTGCGTGACGACACTAAAAAGGGCTGTGTAGCAGACTAGGGTAGGGAAGGCAAGAAAGGAAGTGAAAATGGAGTTCCAGCAAAGCAATATCATCCTCCACGACATTTGTCTTTTTTACTCTCCGCCAAACTTGCTTTGAGTGAATGATTTTCCATTCAAACAAAATTAGGCTATTCAGGTCATTGGTCCAACCTCGTCCCCAGGGCCTTTCCCTTAAAAAATGGGTGGGGCGGGAAAAGGCCCTGGCATCGGCTGGTCGCGTGTCCCCTCGTACACCCTAAAATCCTGGGTGTAATAAATTAGCGCTATGTGAAAAGCTAAAATTATGCGTAACCTCACAGCGCGCGATCTTGGGCGGCCTTTTATATCTCTTGACGATTAACGAAAAGTTTTACAAGATTTCTTTTTTGTCACAGATACTGGCTATGGTAATTTTTTGCTTTCCTCCGATTTCTATGAAGGGGACAGCGAGCGGTAACATTTGTAAAACTTCCTTTATAGAGCGATATAAATGACAAACAAGCTATCGTAAATGCATAAAGTTTGTACTGCAAAATTCCGTTTTCTCGACTCTTTTGATATTTTATTTTATTTCTTGCGAAGTGGACCGCCGTACACAACCTAGTTCTATTCAACTTAACTCTCAGCCATATCATAGCGTCACGCGTTGGTTTAGACTTATCTTGTATGACCTGTCTTTTTTTAAAAAAATTCATTGACCTCTGCGAGACTTGACCGAAACCGGAAACCGCGCATGAAAAGTTTCTGGCACCTAGGGTATCAAACGACTGGTAACAAAGAAAGACTTGGGTCCATTTAAAATTGACAGAGCTGTAGTTGATTCCAATCGATCGGTCAATCTTCCCTTTGATATAAGGAAAATCCTTTGTACTTATCCTCGGAAGAGAAAAGATATAAGAGATCTTAAAATGTTTCAGATCGGCGACCTGTCATCGTTCCTGGCTGGACGGCGGACTTGCATCCGGCGCGGAGATTTGTTTGTTTCATGGTCGGGTTGTAGAGAAGACCAGACTCCATCATAAAGTATTTTGATGAACAATTCTATTTCAATTAAGTCCAATTTGTTTAAATTCACTGCAGATCCTAGAGGCAAAGGCCCGCATTTTTGTTTGACATTGGACAAAATCACTTTCTGCTCGGATCGTACAGTCCACAGTCACGATGAATTTCAGTCGAAGTACTACTCGATAACAGCTTGTCTCAACTCTGAAGCATTTGACATATTTTGTACGTGACAACGTAGAGCCGGTTCTTGTAGCATTTGAATAATACACAATTAAATGGATCTTAAGCTTTTGAATCGCACAGACGCGAAAATATTGACATACAGTTCGCGATATTATTATTTTCTATTGGTGCTCCGTTCGACTTCTGTCAACGCAAAACCAGCGGGTTGCATATAAATTAGCTTCTCAGGAATATTTAGGCTGTGCACGTGACCAGCCGATGCCAGGGCCTTTTCCCGCCCCACCCATTTAAGGGAAAAGCCCTGGGGACGAGGTTGGTCATTGGTCAACTAACCTGGAATTTTGGCCGTGCGATTTGAAACCATTTTTCAACTTTGAGCGCTTTAAAAAAATTTAATAATCGTTGATCTAAACTCAAAACACCTAAAACTTTGGAATCGAGCATTTTCTATAGAAACTATCGGGCACACTAATGTACTAAGCAAAGTACCGATCCTGTGCAAGCTGATATAAAAAGATTACCTGTCCTGTGGTGTAACCTAGGAGCTGCGCTTTCTTGAAAAGCTGCCGGCATGCTGTGGAATAAAAGATTTGACAGAATCGAAGTCAGGATCAAAAAGAAAGTAAAGACAAAATGACTGTTGCAAACACCATTCAGAAAACGACTAACAGATTGCTAGAGCAATCAAAGCAAAACAAGTAGTCCAACGAAGAGGACAGTGGAAAAAACAGCTTGCAATTTCGTTTGTAAGGACTCGGTTGTTCAATGTATAGATCTACCTGAATTTATGAAAACCGGGTTAGCAAACATTTTGTAATTTACCACAACTTCCTCTGTCTTAGCCTGTTTTTATTATTTCTGTGGTACTTTCAACTAAGGGACGGACCATTAGAAATCTTATGGGGGGGGGGGGGGGGAGAAGTACCAAAAATAATTCGCGCAAGGGAAAATTAAATGAAAAAAAATTCTTGCACGCCAATTAACCCTAAAAAAAAATTCATACAAGGAATTTGATAACGAAGAAAAATTCCTGCGGCTCGACAATTCCCCTCCCCCCCCCCATAACTTTTCTAATGGTCCGTCCCTAATAAACTGTGAAACTTTTATATTGGAAAGTTTAGGAGGAAGTCTTTGCTTAAGCATTTCCGTACTTTACCAGTGAGATAAACGTAGCATATTATTTTACTTACCCTCTTAGGCAAGTTACTGTAGACTTGAAATGACACCGGGATGAAACTTTATGGCGTCAGATTACTGAATAAATGTTCTAAAATTTGCGTCATTTTAAATTTGGACTCAGTGAAATGCCACTAAGGACCACAGATAAAGGTTTTTAATCGGCATTTGAATGATTTTTCATTGTTTTAAATTGCCAAGTAGTAGAATGAGTTGATTTTTTTTGCTAACCCGGTTTTCAAAGCTCCAGGTATAGATAAATGAAGGAAAAAATGTCATACAAACCCTAAAGACATGAAAAAAAAACAAAAACAAAAAAAACCGTACAAAATGACTCACGATAGCGGTGGATTCCATTCCTTCCTTTGGCCCACAATGGCGATTTGCAGAATTTTACGTCTATATACCCTGGCCACCAAAGAATTAGAGAGTTCACTGTCCCCTACTTTTTTTTAAGATCGTTGAGACTGACACCATGAATCCGAGAGGTCAGGAATTAAGGAAAAAACTCTGTTACCCGGGGTAGGACACAGAGTGTTCACCTCGGAGCTTACCGCTACGGGTGGCCATCTTGGTTTCAAATGTAAATAGCAGTAGGGGGCAAGAAAAATAGCCTCCTTCGAAACTGTCCCCTCCCACCTAAGATTCGAAACTCACCCCCAGACTTTATCAGGTACACTTGAAACCAAGATGGCCGCCTGTAAGGGTAGGTGCTCGATCCCGACGATCTTTCGGCAAAACAGGGGACAATGAACAGTTTACGAGACTTAACATTGCGGTTCGCCGTTTACGGTTTCGGTCGCCGCTCGTAGCTTCGGCCATAGGCCGAAGATGTGTCTGCCTGCAGCCCACCCCGAAGCATCCCGCTGCACGCGGGAGAATAATTTCACGTGACAACGTTAATTATAATTTTCATACTCCTTACCTCTAGGACAGGTATTCAAAAGTCGAGGAATCTTCTCCGAAGGTGCTGGGAAAACAAATACGGAAAATTAGGCCCGGTCCAAACGTATTTTTCATGCGCCGAATCGAATCATTTGATTCGGGGCATGCAAGTTCGACGTTTGAATCAATTAAATTTGGGTGGCCCCAACTAACAAATTCGACCAGCTCAGTCGCATAAAACGGCAAAAGTGCGAATCGGATTCACGCGTCGAACTTCTAAGGTGCAGAATTTAATGCATACATTATTTTCGTGCACTTCCTAACCACAATCCAGCAATGTAAGGTTACTTGTCATATGCAGTATTTCGCACGCTGAGATGAAACCTGAAAACTAAAATTAACTAAACAATTCGACTATACTTACTATAGTATTTTGGTATGTTCTTCATTCTTTTTGCTTGAAAGTCTGAGCGGACAGCTTCCAAACAGTGCTTTACTCTTTCCTGCAATTATATAAAGGAGGCCGAAAGAACCGTGAATAATGGTAACCATCCAAACTTCCCTCCAGTTACGTGTTGGACGGGAATGGGGTCACACATGATTGAAAACGAGCATTCACCATGCTGAATTTTCACATGTTTGGAGACGAAATTTCGTTGGGATTCGATGGCATGGAGTTTCAAGGGTCAGATAACGCTCATCAACGACCACATCGTCATCAGTGACCACGTTCCGGGGAGATGCATTGTTTTTCCACTGCAGGTACTCGGAACTCAAAATGAAGGAGATATTAGCGATAGATTTTGGGGGGTTCAAATTCATGATTCTAGAAAGTTTGGAGGGTAGGGAGTTCTATCATGTTGATTTCTGAGTGGCTCAATTCAAGTTGGGATACTCTTTGTTTAGTGAACACTAAATGGCAAGTTTCATGGTAAAATTGCCGAGAAAAATATGCACCTAGTATTCATGACCCTTGAATATTTTAGAATTGTGGCTTTAACTTTTGTCCAAAAGATTTTAGCGGGCTCTGTTTTCAATACAAAAATGGGAGAGAAATCCAAATGCAAAGAAAAGAGAGAGCGCTTGCTTTTCTCTTATTTGCCCTCCTTCTTTTTTATCGCTCTCTTTCTAACGTCCTCGACAAACTCGCGCGGAAACGCTTGCTACGCAGGCTACCCCAGAGAAGACGTTTATCTATACCTCGTCTTCAGTTGATCGTCTTTCAGAAGCTTTCTTGTAGCGCGACTGGTAGGCTAGCCATGTGCGTCTCTAAGAGAAAAAATATATAACACACAGAGGCAACAAATTATAAAAATATTCTGTTAATCAGAACAACTTAATTAGTTGTAACACATTGTGCAAATGAAATTTACTCAAACAATGAACACGAAAAAGGTACAGTGAAAGAAACTAAAAAATATATACACTCAACAATATCTATGTTGCTTCTATCCGTTGCAGAATTTCTCATTGCAAATACATCCTCCGTGAAAAAAGGAAAAGAAAACAAACGAACAAAAAGTTGATGTTTTTGTGTAAAGTTCAAATTTTCAAAGCCTAAACTGCCAACATTCTTTCTATCACAGAAAAGTGTCCGCCTCAAAGACGGTCAAAGGAAATAACTGAAGAACGGCTGGGACTATCGCTAGGTGTCCGTTTAAGGGTGGTGTCCGCATTATAGGGAGACAAAGAAAAATGAATGAAGAACGGCAGGGACAAAGTCTTTGTTTCCGCCTTATAGAGAGTTTGAGAAAACGACTGAAAAAACGGCAGGGACTAACACTTGCTGTCCGGTTTAGGAGGGTCTCCGTCTTATAGAGAGTCAAAGAAAATGACTGAAGAACGGAAGGGACCAACTCTAGGTGTCCGTTTAAGAGAGGCACTGGCCTTATAGAGAGTCAAAGAAAATGACTGAAGAACGACAGGGAGCAACTCTAGTGTCTGGTTGAGGGAGGTGTCTGTCTTATGGAGAGGCAAAGAAAATGACTGAAGAACGGCAGGGACCAACTCTAGGTGTCCGTTTAAGAGAGGCATTGGCCTTATAGAGAGTCAAAAAAAATGACTGCAGAACAACAGGGACCAACTCTTGGTGTCCGTTTAAGAGAGGCATTGGCCTTATAGAGAGTCAAAGAAAATGACTGAAGAACGGCAGGGACCAACTCTAGGTGTCCGTGTAAGAGAGGCAATGGCCTTATAGAGAGTCAAAGAAAATGACTGAAGAACGGTAAGGAGCAACTCTAGTGTCTGGTTTAGGGAGGTGTCTGTCTTATGGAGAGTCAAAGAAAATGACTGAAGAACGGCAGGGACCAACTCTAGGTGTCCGTGTAAGAGAGGCAATGGCCTTATAGAGAGTCAAAGAAAATGACTGAAGAACGGTAAGGAGCAACTCTAGTGTCTGGTTTAGGGAGGTGTCTGTCTTATGGAGAGTCAAAGAAAATGACTGAAGAACGGCAGGGACCAACTCTAGGTGTCCGTTTAAGAGAGGCAATGGCCTTATAGAGAGTCAAAGAAAATGACTGAAGAACGGTAAGGAGCAACTCTAGTGTCTGGTTTAGGGAGGTGTCTGTCTTATGGAGAGTCAAAGAAAATGACTGAAGAACGGCAGGGACCAACTCTAGGTGTCCGTGTAAGAGAGGCAATGGCCTTATAGAGAGTCAAAGAAAATGACTGAAGAACGGTAAGGAGCAACTCTAGTGTCTGGTTTAGGGAGGTGTCTGTCTTATGGAGAGTCAAAGAAAATGACTGAAGAACGACAGGGAGCAACTCTTGGTGTCCGTTTAAGAGAGGCATTGAACTTTTAGAGAGTCAAAGAAAATGACTGAAGAACGGTAAGGAGCAACTCTAGTGTCTGGTTTAGGGAGGTGTCTGTCTTATGGAGAGGCAAAGAAAATGACTGATGAACACCTGGCATTTTAGGGAGGTGTGTGTCTTATACAAAGAACAAAAACAAGGAAAAACCTTAGGTTTCTGTTTAAGAAAGCCGTCTCTCTTTTAAAGGTGTTCATTAAGAGACAGTTTACTGTCATACGGCATATTTCTTCATCCATTACTTCATTATACTGATTATAGCATTCCCAAATGTATTATACTGGCAATTTTGCAGATATGGTCAAGTATTTGGTGTTTTTCTCACCTTGCTATCTGATGTCCTTTTATCTGCATGAAGTCTACAGTGCGCAAACAAAGGATCAGCAACATCCTACAAGGAAAGCCAAAAAAAGAACATTGTCAGGTTAACATCACCAAAGTTAATGTAAAGGGTTACATTTCAGTCTCTCAGTGTTGCAGCATACCTCATCACATTCTTCTGGAACCTCTGACAGTAGTCCATACATCTGAGCACTAAAAATAAAGCGATAATCAATTTTGATGACCAAAAATGTCAGGAATAATTGAGTTTGATGTTTGGCCACGTGATTAAGAAGATGAAAAATATGTGATAAAATCAGGGCTCATAAAAACTTGAATTCTAGCTTGTCTTTTGGGCAAGCAGCTCTGGGCGCCCGGACTTTTAGAAAGAAAAAACAACACCAAAGCCATGTCTTTATCGGCATTATTTTTTATGTTTACACTAACGTGGATAACAGAGAAAGAGCTAGAGCGAGTTATTGAAAACAACATTCCTTTCCAATGCTTAGCCAAGCACATAGTACTTTCCAAATTCTGGAAAGTTGACCTTGCCCGCAAGGTAATCTGATAATTACTCGATCTGCAAGAAACACTGGGGAAGCTTCCTGACCTCTAATAACTGTTAGATTCAGAGCGGCAAAAATAAGATTTAGTCAAATTTTAGAATACTGTATGTAGTGCATAACCTTAGCGAAGGAAAGAAAAGAAGGAAAATGGTAACTCTAGGGTCACATTTTAGTCGTGTTTAGCCTGTCAACACTTAATTGCACAACTATTGATTGGTCACTTACCACGCAAATAAAACAATGGGAAAGGAATGTTGTTTTCGGTGACAATGAAAATATTAAAAGTACAAATTAGACTACTGGCTGCCTGGAATAACCATAGGGGCTAGCGGAGCCAGGCAGCCAGTTGACATTAGCATTAAATAGAAATAAATTACAGGTCAGCAAGAAAACGCCATCTTTCTCGCTGACCGTAACATTTTCAGGATAGACATAGACCTAGGCACTTTACTTTACGTGGTAAATATGTTTAGCTATACGGCTACTACAGATATCCCACAGGTAAAATTAAGGTAGAAAATAAAATACAAAGTTTTAAAAATTTAAATTACTAATTGCTATGAATATGAATTAGCTAAGATATAATTAAAAATACCTTAACCTGAAATTATGATTCAATGACAAAAGCTATAAAAATTCTAAAAATCTAAAACTTTAAAACACAAACCCTGCTAGCAAATTCCTTAGTTCCAGCTGAAGCATGAAAATTGTATGCGTATCAGGATGCGTATCATTTTAATCTGCCCCATTGAGAGCCAAAGACAGTTCAATGTATATACAGCTTATAGGATGATATTCTTACCAATTATCAAAAAAAGTCATAAATGTATTTAAAGAAGGGTGGCTGTATAACCCTTCTTCAGTGTTGAGAAAACCGTTGCAATACGTTATTGTTATTAGACGCTAAATGAAGCGCGCACATGTAAATTGTAGCATGTGCCATATATACATCTAGCATGCATAAAGGTGAAAATTCTGTTCTCAAAGGTTTGAACCGTTATTGAAAACAAATAAAATAGAGTTTAAAAACAATGGGAAGATCATATCGGGTACATTCAGCTAAATTGGAGTATCCAGTTTGTAAAGGGGCAACGAAACGCCTAATTTTCTGCCCATATCTCCCACAGTCAGGTGTGCATTCTTATAACACAAGAAGATCAGGGGTCTTTTAGTTACTCCATTGCAGGACTAATTTAGGAAAGTTGTCTATCTGTTTCCAAGTTCTTTAACTCTCTTAGTGTTGAAATTGAAAATGCAACAAGGATTGCGTCCTTTTTCCGTAAACTAAAAGCATCTCCATACCAAAACATTTTTACTTTGCCTCGATCTCCATTTAATTTTTTTCCACTTTTCGCTTCGCATTTTTTAACCTAAGTAAG